GACACTCCGTCCTCGGGAAGCTCGGGCGCCTGCGCGAGTCCACTTCCCCCGCCGCCCCTTCAGCTCCTGGAGGAGCCGCGCCCCTTTCCCGCAGGAGCGCGCGCGGTCTCCGCGTGTGGGCGGGGCCAGTCATGAATGATTCACTAGGCGGGTCTGGTCCTCAGGCCTTAACCTGCTCCGGCGTGGGATGAAGTCCCACTCGGCAACACAAATTCAGCAAGTATTTATTAAACGCCTACTGTGTGCCAGACCATGTTTTACGCATCGGCTGGAAACAAGATAGACAAAAATCCTTGCCTTCATGGAGCTTTCTAGTGAAGGGAGTCGACAAACAAAATTTTAACATGTATACATATAGTATATTCGAAGGTGAAACGTGTTATTGAGAAAAACCAAGCATGGGCTCCTGTCACGTTGCAGGCCTCCTTGCTGTTTCTGGAACACACCAGGCCTGGTCCAGCTTCACAGTCTTTATACTTGGTTACACCTTGTTACCACTGTCTGGATCACTTTCCCTAGATACTGAATCCCCAGGGCTCACAGCCTCCTCTCCTGCAGGTCTCTGAGGCAACATCACCTCCCCAGTGAGATATTCCCTGATCACTTATTTAAAATAGCATCCTAGCCCTAACCGGTTTGGCTCAGTGGATGGAGCGTTGGCCTGTGGACTCCGGGGTCCCAGGTTAAATTCCGGTCAAGGGCACTTGCCTTGGTTGTGGGCACATCCCCAATGGGGGATGTGCAGGAGGCAGCTGATCGATGTTTCTCTCTCATCGATGTTTCTGACTCTCTGTCCCTCTCCCTTCCTCTCTGTGAAATATATTTTTTAAAAATAAAATAATAAAATAAAATAAAATAGCATCCTACAGCCCTGACTGGTTTGGCTCAGTGAATAGAGTGTTGGCCTGCAGACTGAAGGGTCCCAGGTTCGATTCCGGTCAGGGGCATGTGCCTTGGTTGTGGGCACATCCCCAGTGGGGGGTGTGCAGGAGGCAGCTGATCCATGTTTCTCTCTTGTCGATGTTTCTAACTCTCTATCCCTCTCCTTTCCTCTCTGTAAAAAATCAATAAAATATATTTTAAAAATAAATAAAATAAAATAGCCTCCTACATCTTTCTTGCTTATTTTTTTTTCCAGAGCATGGATTACCATTTAATATATTACATGATTGATTGATCGATTGATTGCATTTATCTGTCTCTTTCCCAAGAATGTCATCCATGGGGTGGAGCTTTTTGTTTTGGTCATTGCTGTATATCCATAGTCTCTGAAGCAGCATCTCACACAAGATAGAAGTTTAATAAATCCTAGGTGAATGAATGGACTTAAAACCATGATGAGAAATTTGAATTTTTAGTTGAAACCTGATTGACATAAATTTTATTCTAAATGCAATGGGAAGTTAAGGAGGATTTTAAGCAGGGCTGGGATCTGATTCAGCTGTGCAAAGGGTCCCCCTGGTTACATGAGGGGAACAGATTGTAGAAGGTGGGTTAGGCACAGGGAGCCCAGTGAGGAGGCTGTTACAATGGTCCAGATAAGGGTGGACAGGACCAGAGGCTTGGAGGAAGAGAGAGCTGTGGAGGGGCAGTGGGAAGTTTTGGGAAAATAGAGCTGACAGGACTTACTGTCATGAATTTGGGGTTGGGGGAGGGCAGAGATAAAGAGCAGTCAAGACTCCAGAAGCTCCAAGTTTTCTACTGGGGATGGGGATTGAAAGACATGGCTCCTCCAGGTATGAGAGCTATAAGGTCTTTTTCCACCTCTCTGAGGCACTGGAAGGGATCCAATGGCAAGCGAGGGAACAAGGCCTGGCAGGAGCCCACTTTCCCAGGGAATGATGCCAGGACCTAGCCAAAGACCTAAGAGTGTTGGTGGCTTACAAACCTGGGCTGGGCAGGCAGCCTGTTGACTTGGTGAACAAGCCCAGGACTCTTGTGCTGGGCCTGGTCAGCAGGGAAAGGCCCTTGGGTTAAGGGCCATCTGCCCCACTCTGCAATGAGGTTTAAACTAAGGGCTCCCTTTGTCAGTCACCTTTGAGGCCATCCAGGGACAATGCAGTAATAGCTATCATCCATTGAGGGCCAAGGGGCAGGAGGAGACTGGAAGGGGCTCTGAATGAAGGGGCATGCCAATGGGTTCACCATTTCTACACCACTTGGAATTCTCGAGTCTGCAGTAACGGATTAAGCACCGTGTCCTATTATTAGTGCCACTTGGGCGAAACAAAGGAGACAGCTGTGTCCTCCCAACGTGGGAACATAGAAAGATACTGGGATATCTAGAAGTGACAATGGAAGCAGCTGAAACAGCAGCCCTGAGCCCAAGTAAGCAAGACAGGCTACAAGTTTGTGATCTTACAGTGTGCCAAGATCTCTGAAATTTCCACATGTTAACTCACAACTGTGGACGGAAGAGGCCACATGCTGACCTGACAAGCTCAGGGGAGGCCTGCATGGCAGTCTTACAAACTCAGAGACCTAAAGTAACTACAAAGGATGGTCTGAAATTAAACTCTAACTAAAGCAGTTATGGTGGGCAGTTACATCCTAGGCCAGTATCTTCACTGACAAGGTCAACCTTTACCTTAACTGAGCCTATCTTTTTGCATCTATGATAACATACCCTTGAAATGTCTGGGTAACTTGTAACTTCCCTTTTTCTGGAGCCCCTGGGGCACAACCAAATGTGCTGGGCCCCAGGACAGATACCACAAATTCCTTCATCATCATGTTAATTGATCCTGCACCCACCTAAGTATGTGTCCATCATTTTACTTTTATCTAATCCCAGGGGTTTCCCTGCTTCGCTTTATCCCTCCTCCTTAATCTATCACCAATGAATTTCATGTAACCCACCTATGTCCCTCCTTTGATTGCAATGTATAAATACAAATGTAACCCCGCCATTCTCCGGAGCATTATCTCAATTTGTTGAGGTTCTGCTTCCCAGCATATGATAACAGTTTGGCTCAAATAAACTCACAAAAATTCTTTACAGGTTTCAATGGTTTTTTTATGTTAACACAACTATGGAAGTGGGTACTTTCAGCAGTGGTAAAATTGAAGCAGAGTTAACAAGCCCAAAGGCCACTAGGCTGGGATTTGAACTCAGGCTGTCAAAAAGGATGAGGATCCTCCTGGAGCAAAAGCAGGTTGGCAAATTAGGACAAGACGTGGCTGCCAAAGGACACGGGTTATTTCCTCTTCCTTGTAGTGGACATGGCCAGTTGTACAGGTTTTATCACACACAGGGTATCTACCAAGTGGGTGAGTGGAGTTATGCCCACCCTGAGGGGGTGCCCATAAATGAGTGGGTAGCAGCATTAGTCTTCCCTCCTGCTACCCTCCACCCCCCTTACAGCAGGCTCCAGAGTCCTGAGCTACATAATCACCATTTGTGCCCAGGGTTTGAACACACCCTAGTTCCTGGCTCCTGCTCAAGTCTGGAACCCAGGGCAAAGGGTGTCCCGCCCAGCCCTGGCTCCTCACATCCCTGCCCAGAGGATGGGTGTGAGTGGTGGATCAGGGAGGTTGGCAGCTCGGGCACTGCCACTCTCCGTAGGCCAAGTCCACTGTGATGGGAGAATGAAGGGCTCCCCCAGGCAGCAGCAGGTCCACACTAAAGGTTGTGTATCTATCATAGCATTTCATTTCCTCCATTTTCCTCCCAAAGGAGTCACTATTGTTCTCACCCCCTTTACACACAAGCACAGAAGGGAAGATACTTGTCCAAGGTTATTCTGCAAAATGCCTGGAATACTTCATGTATAAATGGGAAAGATAACCAACCCAACTAAAGAATGAGTGATGTGAACTAGACCTCCTAACTAGCATAGGCTGGAATTTGGGGATGGAGGAGTATGGCCTGGCTGAAAATCTGAATTACTTGTAAAGTCTCTCCAAATAGAAGAATGCTCAGAACTAGTTTGCAACCTCGGGACAAACCCAAGTCTAAAATCAACAACTCCTGTTTTTTAAGCGCCAATAACAGGCCAGGACCTGGTCTGAGACCTTTACTGGAAAGAGCTCATGAAATCCTCATAACTCTGAGAAGGGTGCACCATTCTCCACCTTTCTCAGAAAACTGGGGAAGAGGGGCAGAGTCACTAGACCAAGGATACACATAGGGTAGAGCAGCCAGAATCCTCCCCCATTTACTCTCTAGCCACAGCCCTGGGGCCACTAGTGCATGCTTTTGTGAGGCCCAGGGGCAAAGATACGCCTGCCCTCCAGGACCTCAGGTAGGTTTTCCTGAGTACAGAAGAGCCCAGGCTAGAGCCAGCTGCAGGGCTGGGCTCCTGCCCCATTCACACTCTCCTTGCTGACTCACTGTTACCTGCCCTCTCCTGGGGACCTGGATCAGAAAGGTGGGGGTGAAAGGTCAGTTGCAGGGGTGGGGCAGGCAAAGTGGAAGGGAAGAAAAAAGATGAAGCCCTGCCACTGGGGGGCCCCAGCACAGGGCCAGCAGAGGCCTGCTCCTGGGCTCCCTCTGGTGGATGAGGGACAGAGGTAGGAAGCCAGTAAGGAGACACCAAGGCTAAGGCAATAAATCTTTATTAAGCACCTGCAAAGTTACTGGGAGGAGGCCATGATGCTGGACACACCTGTTGAGAAGAGAAGGTGGGACCAAAG